TGACTAGAGTGCATCTGGCGGAAAACTCGACTCTTATCTGATAAGACTCATCATAGGTGAGGAATTTCTTCATTCCTATTGAGAGGCAATATGTGCAGTGAAGAAATCATTCTCCTCTGCACATATTGTGTCTGCGGAATCTTGCCCAGCAGAACTGTTTAGGGCGGTAAGGGAGCTGACACAGATCCCTCCTGTGCAGAACCCTTTACTTAACCTGACAACAGCCTGCTGCAATGCTTTTAGCATCTATTTTACAGATAAAATCTCTCAGATAAGAGCCGACAGATGCTGGAATTATAGCATAAACGACTGATGAGGCGTCCAGTCAACCCGTTTATGAGATTAAACTGGATCAATTTGAGTTAGTGAGTACTGATGACATGGACAAGATCCTTGGAAAAGTTAGGAAGACAATGTGCTCCCTTGATCCTTGCCCATCTTGGCTGGTCGTCCAGGGGGGTGATGCCTTGATGGCCTTCCTTAAGAGGATCATCAATGTATCCGTTAGGGAAGGCATTGCACCATCAAATTTAAAGGAGGTGGTCATTAGACCACTCCTGAAGAAACCTTCCCTGGACCCCTGGATATGAAGAATTACCATTCTTGACCAAAGTGATCGAGCAGGCCATTGCCTTCCACCTCAAGCGATCTTGGATGAAACCAATTTTCTAGATTCATTTCAAACCCGCTTCAGACCTGGATATGGGGTGGAGACGGCCATGGCTGCTCTGGTAGATGACCTTTGCCTGAGCACCGACAGGGGAAGCATGACCCAGTTGGTGCTTTTGGACCTCTCAGCGGCTTTCGATACTATAGATCATGACATCCTACTGGAATGCCTAAGAGAATTGGGAGTGAGAGGCACTGTCCTTCAGTGGTTCCACTCCTTTCTCTTGGGCAGATTCCAAAGGGTGGTACTCAGGAACAGTTGCTCATCAAAAACTGAGCTAAAATATGGCATTCCTCAAGGAGCCATCCTGTCCCTGATGTTATTTAATATTTACATGAAGCCACTGGGAGAGATCATTAGGAGACATGGAGCAGGATGTTACCAATATGCGGACAATACTCAAATATTCTGCTCCATGTCTTGGTCAGATGCCATGACAGCAGATGGCGGTTCTCCCGTCAATCAATGTCTTGAAGCGGTAATGGACTGGATGAGGGAAAAAATGACTCAAATTGAATCCAGACAAAAAGGAGGTACTCACGGTAGGGGCCCCCAAACCAGAGATTGGATTGCTACCACCAGTCTTGGATGGGGTCATGCTCTCCACCAAGGACTGTGTCCGCAGTCTGGGGGTGCTCCTAGACTCGTTTCTTCACATGACAGATCAGGTGAATGCGACAGTCAGGAGTGCCTGTTATCAGCTTCGGCTGATATGCCAGCTGTGCCCTTTCCTGGAAGTAAGGGACCTAGAAACCGTAGTATATGCACTGGTAACCTCACGACTTGACTTCTGTAATGCACTCTACATGGGGCTACACTTATACCTAACTCGGAAACTGCAATTAGTGCAAAACATAGCAGCCAGATTGATCACCGGAACATCAAAGGGTGATCATATTACTCCCATCCTGAAATCACTACATTGGCTGCCAATTAGTTTCTGGGCACAGTATACGGTGTTGGTGTTGACCTTAAAAGCCCTACATGGCTTGGGCCCATCTTACCTAGGGAATCGCCTATCTCCATATAATCCGCCCCGCGCCCTCAGGTCCTCTGGGAGGAAGTTGCTTCAACCAATAAGAACTAGGTTGGCAGCAACCTCCCGGAGGACCTTTTCTGCCACGGCTCCCAGATTATGGAATGCCCTTCCAGAGGAGATCCACCAAATAACCAACTTGAGGGGGATGCAGACCAGGGCGTCCAGGACGCCCTGGTCCGGAGCGCCGCGGGGCCATGGCAGCCACACCGCGGCGCTCCTGCGGCGTCCCTGGAAGGAGCGCTAAATCAGCGCTCCTTCCTCAAGACAGCGAAAGTGCGCCCTAAACGCGTAGGGCGCACTTTCGCTGTCTTTTCCGCCGCAGCGCATGCGATCGCTGCGGCGGGAGGTTGCCCTGGAAGCGCCGGCCGTGCGGAGGGCCGGCAGCTTCCAGGGCGACCTCAGGGAGAGGAAGGAGCGCCGCGCGTGCGGCTGCTCCTCCTCTTCCTGGGCTCGGAGACGACCCTTTTAGTCGTCTGCCGAGGCCCTTAGATGGCTTTAAAAAAGACCTTAAGACAGATTTCTTCCGGCAGGCATTCCCAGAATGATATACTCTCCTCCCATCACTAGACAGCTCCTTTTGAGATGGCTACAGAACCGCTGTCCAATTATGTCAAACATGTAAGATGTTTAATTGTTTTATTGTTAAGAGATTTTAATTTGTTAAATGATTTAATATATTTTTAAGGGGGGTATATGTTGTTGACTGTATGGGTGTTTTAACTGTAAGCTGCCTTGACAGCCTTGGCTAAAGGCGGGGTGTAAATAATATATTATTATTATTATTATTATTATTATTATTATTATTATTATTATTACTAAATGGTGGAATGGTTGAATGGCAGAAGTAACCAATTTACTTCTGATGAGGATTTGGTTTTAGTATTTTAGTATTTTGGCATTTTATAGTGTTGTGTTTTATTGTTTTATTTTTGATTGCATGTGTCTGATGTTCCACCCTTTGGTGAAAAGGATGTTGTAAATAAACATCATTATTATTGCTCACTTTTGAGAATTTGGAAGCAAAACTGCTATTTTTGAAATTGCAATTACAATGGTAACTAGCTACTTTAGGGTACTTTGAGCTATTATTGTAAATGATTACCATTTAAAATATTCAGAGTTGTATAACAGTAACAATTTATTGGTATCTGGCTATGTAAGGACTACTGTTCTGAGGAGAGAACATAGCTAAGTGGTATAAAACAGAGGAAGAGTCAGCATGGTGTAGTGGTTTGAGCACTAGATTACAATCCTGGAGACTAGGGTTCAAATCCTTGCTCAGCCATGGAAAGCAACTGCATGACCTTGGGAAAGTCACACTCTCTTGGCCACAGAGGAAGTCAAAGGCAAACCCCTTTCTGAACCAATCCTGCCAAGAAAACCCTCTGATAGGTTTGTCTTAGAGTCACTATAAGTTGGAAATGACTTGAACACACACAGCAAGTACAATAGAATGTGTACTTTACAAAGAGATGATCTCAATTTCGCTTACAGAAATTGTTTCCAATTCACTGGTTATATAGGGTCCTTTTTTCTAGCCAGGATAAAACCAATGTGGTTACCCCCAGTCAAACAGACCAAACAATACAAGATTAGATGGATAAACAATCTAGGATAGAAGGCAGTTCATTACATTAAGAGTTTTAATGGAAGTTCATGACAAATTTCCATTAGGCTTTCAACTACTGATGCTGATGTGGCCACAATGTAAAAGTCATGCAAACATTCCTACCAACCATTGTCATCATTTTGAACCAGAGTAACTTGAAGCATGTGCATGCTACTTTCCTGTTATTATTGAGAAAATGCATCTGGCTGACATATGTCTGAATGGGGAAGGACTTCCAGTCCTGATGGTACAACTAGGTAGAATTATGCTCTGGTCTGTCTCATATTAGAAATTGACCGAGGTTCCCATATGCAAAGAAGCGTATTTAGGTTCTTTTCAAAACAAATAACTAGAAATGTATTTCAGCAAACTTGCATTATTTCATATACTGCAGTTATCTGTGTGGCTTCATTCACTTCCAGGTAGGCTAGTTGTCAACTGGAGAGCCAATTCAGGTGGGAAAAGCACTCATTACTGGAGACATTCAGCTTTGCATTGCACTGACAGGCTGGGAAAAATCCTCTTCTGTAATGCTTGACTTGTGTGTCACAATTCTATTATTTGGGGGCTGGTCATGCCCTGACACAAGGCTATATGATGTCTCACCCATCATCATCACAGTGTGAGCAGAATAAATCTGGTGAGGCTTTAAAATATGCAGTCAGCTCAGTGGTGTAACAAAAATAACCAGCTGCATTTCAGTCTACTGCCCATATCATGAAGGTATAAAATCTATTTTTAAAACACACAGAGAGAGAGAGAGAGAGAGATTGTGGTTGTACTCTTAGAGCACATGGTGCATCATTATTTACATTGCATTTATTGAATCATCTTTCTGCAAACTATTTTTGATGCTGAGATGTATTTTGGCCCTGTTGCTCTGTGTGTATGTGTTTCTCTGCCTACTTTTGTAATAAATGGTAAGCACTGGAGTTCATAGCTGAAGACTATATTTATCATCTTCAACCCAAACACTATTAAAATACAAGACTCCTCAAGATGTCTCTCTCATCTGTCACACTCAACATTCACAGAGTGCAGTCACCCTTCTATGACATGATTTGCATGCACAACATAGCCTGTACAGTTAAGCCTTCACATTTTACTGTCAAGCCATTAAAAAAACAACAGCACACTTACTGTAGTGACCAAATGTATTTCCTAGAATATTAAATCTCTTGAAACATTACTACTTCCAAAACACACATCAAGACTACAAATTGTGAATACCAAGCAATTTCTGTTTACTGTCATTTCCAGTTGGAATTAATGTCCCATAAATAATACTGTGACTAATTTCAGGAAGTTGCAGTTTTTCAGCTTTAAAATAAACCCACACTTATCTATATGCATTTTTACACAAATACATCCCCCCCCCACACACACACTATTGTTTATAACAATGAAACCATTGCCTCCCATCCACATTTGTGTATGGCTGCAGCTCACACTGCAGAATTAATGCAGTTTGGCACTGTTTTAACAGCCATGACTCAGTGCTATGGAATTCTGGGATTTGTAGTTTTGTGAGATATTCTCTATGAAAGAACACTGGTACCACAAAAAACTACACTAAATTCTGCACTGTGGCAGCAGAGGATGTGGTGGAAAATATGGGAGGGGGAAGATACAGTATCTTGGGACTAAAATATATTATGTTTAGAGAAACTGTGTTATTTTGTGAAGGATAAAAAGTAAACATATTTCTGTATCTGTTCTTTGGGAATGTAGTGGCAACAATACATGGTTATCAACTTTTGTTCTCATTAGGCTCCTGTGTCTTTAACACATGTATGGCAGCTGGATGACACTTTTTCATGTGTGGCTATACCAGTGTGGGAAATAGTATACATTGATTTTATTACTGTTCTGTGGAGCAGGAGAAAGAACTATGGATGTTATCACATGGGGAGTCGGGGGAGAAAGTGGAAATAAATGGGCACGAGCAAAAGTCTTTAATTTACAGGATTTGTCCCATTCCACCTCGTCTGATAACTAAATTTGAATTTAAAAGGGGGTTAATTCGAACGCAAACCTGATCTTTTCATTTTCGGGATTTTTGAGGATTAGAAAAGATCAGGTTTTTGTTCGAATTAACCCCCTTTTAAATTCGAATTTAGTTATCAGACAAGGCGGAACGGGACAAATCCCATAAATTAAAGTCTTCCGCTCATCCGGTTTATTTCCACTTTCTCCCCACAACTCCCCATGTGATAACATCCTATGTCTCCATCTCTTGGAAGGGATGGAGAAGAAGGACAACTTATCATCATCATACCTACAAGTTTTACATTTCTATGGCTATTCATACAGTCAGGTTATAAAGGTCCTTCCTGGGTGCCAGTTCACTCTGTGCATCTGAGGAAGTAGACCAAGTCTTCAAAAGCTTATGCTACAACATGTTTCACTCAGTGAGGGGGGAAGCAGACCAGGGCTTCCAGGACGCCCTGGGATGGTGCGCTGCGGGACTGCGGCATCCGCACCGTGGCTCACCGGCAGTGTCCCTGAAAGGAGCGCTAAATTGGCACTCCTTTCAGAAGTCAGGGAAAGTGCGCCCTAAACGCATAGGGCACACTTTCCTTGACTTTTCCGCCGCAGCGTGTGCGGACGCTGCGGCGGGAGGTTGCCCCCGGAGCACCAGCTGTGCGGAGGGCTGGCAGCTCTGAGGGCAACCTCGGGAGGAGGAAGGGGCACCACGCGTGTGGCTGCCCCTCCTCTTCTCTGCCTCGGAGATGACTTTATTAGTCGTCTGCCGAGGCCCTTTGTCTCAAAGATGTTGGCCTACTAGATCTATTTGCATACTGGTGTTCTGGTAGGCCTTTTCTCTTTCTTCTACAAGACAATAGGATAGCTTCCTTTCTCTTCCTAGCTCTTAGAAAACAATTCTGAAGTGCCTTTTGAGTTGTGGAGCTTTTTCTCAGGAGTATTTAATAGCTTTTGGATAAGAATCTTGACTTGCTCTTCCTTTTTCTCAGTTTGCTGTGGTACTACCTTCTTCTATCACCCAGCTGGCTGCCTGCTTGAACAGAAGGAAGGGGAAAGGAGTTGGAGGAGGGAACATCCACAGGCAATTTCAAAACCTAGGAAAAGTGCAATCTGAAGAGCATGTGGCTCACAAAGCACAACGGATCCTTCAAGCACATATTTGTTGGCAATCATGAGGCAGAAACTAGCCCCAAGTAATCAATGATAGGCTCTGGGTAAATGCATGTTCCTAGAGTCCTTAAAAAGAAATCTCATGCCATTATTTAGTACTGCCAGAACAAGAAGGCAGGAGTGTGGGTTTGATGAGTCAGGCCCTGGGGATTTACCTGGAGCTTTTGCAGCACCCTTACTTTTGACATGGATGAGTCCTAACATTTGACCTTCTAGAGCTGCAGGACTTTTCCACCATTAGCATTCTCTGACTAATACCAGCTTCTGCAAACATTTCCTCAGTTACAAGATCCATGGGTCCTGCTTAATAGTATGTTCACTATGCTTTTCTGGTAAAAGGTCTGAAAACATTTGTCTTACACAGAAATTGTCTTGGAGGCCTTTAAAACATCCATTATCATTTGTCTTGGACATAAAAAAAAGCAAATACAAATACGGGGAGTTTAGCAACATTTTTTAAGTACATTCTGTGGCATAGAGGGAGAGCAAGAAACATATATTGATAGACACAAGACAGCAGGCCCATGGTTCTTATTCCAACTTCACTGAGTTAAAATGCATCACATATTTTTAAAGACAGTTGACCTTTGTTGGGGTCTTTTGCCCTTTACAGTCTATCTTTCTGAAACAGCATTTCCCCCTACTGTCTGTCAAAGCTTTCTTTTTGTTTTTTATATAAAAGCTATACTCCAGTAGATATTGTGGTCTCTACTTTTCCACAATATTATTTTCCCCAGTCTATCTGTGTACAGACTTTGTTTAAATTGTGTCTTTTTTTCTCAGATGCTCAGATTTAGTGCAGCACGGAAGAAGGGGGGGATGGTTATTCCAACCTATGATGAACCTAGCCTGCATTGATCATGATATTAACTACATCATTTTTTAAAAAAAACAAAACACTTTTTTATTTTCCCAGAAGTAATTTTTTTTAAAAGCTTCACTTAAGAGTAATATAAATTAATCAATATCCTGAAC